GCAGAAGAATGTGATTCATTCAGTAAGCCCAAGTGCAGTCAGTTGCATGGCGTGCCTGTCCGGTGAAAGACTGCAGGAAAAAGAAGGCAGTGACCAACACGGAGTGTAGTCATCAGGCCAGAGCGGGAGGACTGGGCGATGCATCCTTAATGACATTCAGAGTAAGGAAAAAAAAAGAACCAATTGTACGAGGATCCTAGTCACACAGGTTCTGTGCCTACAGTCTGACTAGATGGTTTAGGTAGTCAGTAATCAATAGCCCTAGCTAGTAAAATCTCTAATTAGCCCCTCTTGCTCTGAATTCATATTCATTAATCAACTGTTAGGTAATAATTTATCTTCTGGAGCAGTTATTTCTACAAAGAAGAAATGTGTTGAGTGGCAAAGTTCTTGGCTCATTTTGCAGTCACATGTTGAAGTTTAAACGAACATTTAAGTATTTTGGCTTACACATTTTCCTCTTTTACTTTTGGATAGTAGGATGCAGTTCCTGAACAAAATTCCCAAAGCTGGATCTAAAATGTGAGGACCAGACTCTGGGTCAAGGAAACCTCATTGAAGCTAGACTTGGGGAAAGAAACAGATTCCTTTCTAACAGCAACAGATGAGATATCTATTTTCTTGTAAGCATTATTGTTAGGTGGTCATGTTACCTTAACACAAAAATAATCCAAACAATAGATTTAAAATTCCTCACATGTGAACAGGACTTATTAGATTTTAGGTTGATAGCAAAACTTTCTCACGAGGTGCAGTCACATGCACCTGTAGTCCCAGCTACTTGGGAGGCTGAAGCAGGAGGGTCGCGTGAGCCCAGGACTTCCAGGCCAGGCTGGACAACATAACAAGGCCTCATCTCATAAAATAAAATAAAAAATGTCTGTGTTTGTCAAACTTTCTAAATTTATTTTTTAACTCATAAGGCATAGAAAAATATTTGACTGTGAAAGATGTATTCAAACCCACCCACTTATAAAATAGTAATTTTCTTTCTCAATTTTTCATTTCCCTCAAGGGGAAAATAAAGGAAAAAAGGAACACAGTAAAAGCCATGATTTTTTGAAGCCAACTGAAAGACAGATGAAAAAGAAGGAAACTAAGGTACCTGATGTTTTAAGTATTTTTTCAGAACAGCAGTCCTGTTTGATTCAGTCTTGATTTCTTTTAAAGAAATGGAGTAGGCATGTTCATTTTTATAGCCCTTTAATTGTGTATATTAATATGCATTTTTCAAATGACAAATAGATAAATATAAGTAAATGAATTAATAACTAAGTATTGATGTCCTTATATTAGTTTGGTTCCTTTTATATTATAGTCTAGTATAATTATGCCAAGTTAAGCCCCTTCCTCCCAAAGGAAATAAGATACTACAATTTAGAAGAATTTCATCCCTAATAATCTATATTAAAATGAAAATTTAAAAATGTGACAAGAACAATGGGAGGATTCATAAAGTGTTTAAACACTTGAATTTTGAATTACTTCTCTTTTATTTATTTTTTCTTATTTTATTTGATACCTATGTAACATACTTAATGTTAATTAAAGACAGTCAAGAGGAAACCAAACAGATTAAATTTCTAGGGTGTTGGAAGGAGTGGAGTGGGTGGCTTTATGCTTCCTTCACACACATTCTAATTCCAAATGTAGCTTTCAGGCATAGAGATGTACATTAATTTATATATGCACAATTTCAGAATTTAAAAAATGGCAGATTATCTGGTTAATAAATGGTAAGAAAACTAAAATGTTAAAGTAAATCTCTAAGTAGGCAGTTGTTTCTTTATATGTAAGCAAAACAGCATAACTTTATGGAACCTGCATTTTAAAAAGCAAATCTCAAAGTTTAATGATCTGACAGGTTCTTTTCTAAAGTCTTGGCCATGGATAAAGCGGAATCCCTAATCACCTACAGCTAATCTGTAGCTCAGCTGAGTTGCAGGGCTGTTTACTTGTAAGTAACAAGGGAAAATTGAAAATTAATTTATCTTATTGCTTACATAGTTATAAGCAAAGACTTTGCAAAGTTATGGAGTCAGAGTTGATAATGTAAGTAATTTTTCTGGATATAAGAACTATCATGGACCACGAAGAACTGAGTGTCAGTTTCATGTAACTACAGTCTATTCAATAATCTGCTAAAGGTTGATAACAATTGATGCTACTCTTTAGTGCTTCTTGTGAACTGGGCACTGTAGAAGCACATAGTATAGCAAATTGATGGTTCTGAGCTTGTGAAGATTTCATTATGAAGATGTGCTTCAAGAGGAGAAGCAAAAATAAATAAAAAAGTAGACATTAAACAACAATCCTCTGAAAGAAAATTTAAAGTATTAATGATGACATCGTCTTCCTAATTTGTTACCCACCGCCTACACCTCAGTCCCTTTCCTGTACTCTTTCCATGCGTGCCACAAAAACTTCTCCAGTCTATGGAAAATCTAATATTCATTCCAATTTATTTAGTACATTCCAGGTGCCTTATGCCCTCTTCAGTGCTATGCTTAATGAAAGATATGACATAGATTTAGCATCCATTTGGCTTTATATTCTATTGCAATAAATATATTCTCATAGATAAGCATGTATTGTGACTGTACTGACAACAATTAAATGCGTAATTTATAAAACAGCTGACATGTATTAATTTTCCTGAGATATAACATCTTTCCATAATATATTGTACTATACTTTGGTTGGGAAAATTATTTCATACATTTTATCAAAATCTAGAAAAAAGCAATTTCTGACTTATTTTGTGAGTGTCATCTTTCCCAAATAAATCTCTATCACATAGAAACTTCTCCACCAAAGAGACATATATAGCCAAGTCCTAAGCACTTTTTTTCTTCTTTTTTTTTTTTTGGTAGAAAGTGATTTATTTGGAGAGAGAGAGAGAGAGAAACAGGAGAAGGAGAGAGAAAGAAACAGCTAACTCTCACGCTGAGTGAGAGAACCGAGAAAGATGGAATCCAGGAGAGGAAAGCAGCTTCCACACTGAGTGGAAAGGAATAGCAAGAGATGGAGTTTAGGAGGGGAAGGCAGGCTTCCACGAGAGAGTGTGGAAGAGGACCCCAGAGGGGAAATCCAGGAAAGAGACCTAAACACTTTTACATAATTTACACATCACATGTGCATCTATTTTTTCCCCTGGAACCATTGATATATAATGTGAATGATGAGCATATAGGTTTAGCATTAAGAGAAATAATTTACTTCTCTTGCCAATACTTAATAAAAAGTGTCAGTAACAGTGAGAGTTAACCAAAGCCTAGGAGCTACAACACGTATAGAGAGAATTAATGACAAAGTAAATAAAGGCAACCTGGTTAGCTCCCACATTTGCACTCAAGGATCTCAGAAGGGTGAAGCTCCAGAAGGTTTCTGGGTGTTTCTGTGAACCGTCACTTCTGTTTCTGATTGAAAAAGTACCAGCATCCTCACAAAAGGAGGTATTATTCTCTGAAGCGCTGAATCTTATTGGCAGCCCAGGGCTCTCTGGAGGGGCTGGGCCATGAAACTCCTGAATGCCCACCTCCTTGGGGAAGGAGAGACAAAGCAATTGTCTTTTTCTATTTCTACTCTCAACCCCAGCAGGATGCACAATGAAGAAACACACAGTCACAGAGCACACCTCTGAGACAACATCTCTCATTACCATCCCGGAATACTTGGCATTATTTGAATTTCACGAACACCCACACTGCCCTTGTTCCCCAATCTCCAGATGGTTCAGGTGAACCTGTCAGGAAGCAGGACCAGTGTGACAATGAATAAGTTCCTGGTGTGAACCTCTGTAGCTCAGCCTCTCCCTGATGTAATCTCGATTCCTTCTGTGGCTGCAGAAATGGGAAGAAAGGATCTGAAATATTAGCTGATTGCAAGTGACCCTCTAAGGTTAGAGAGGCAGGGAGCAGACGAGGGAGTCCCAAGTGCCCCAGTGGGGCTTATTATAACCTACCTGAAGGGAACGTTTTCTAGGGCACAAAACAACCAGTGCAAGTCCGCTGTTGGAAGTGTCCTCTAATCTCTTTGGTGAAATGGGAAGATTTTGAGTTCAGTTCCTCTCAGGAGTGGAAGAAAGAATCCTTTCCAAGGTAGCTTCCCCTAGCAGTTTTCTGCCTCTTGTGAGATGAGAAGATTTGCCGTCTTGAAACGTGGGTCTCGCGGAAGTCTGACCTGCAGACCCTGATTCAATGATGGATGAATGAATGCACTCCCACCATAGTGTTTCAAGTGGGCTAGGGAATGGCCACTGGCTGCTTTCAGAGGGCAAAATGCAACCAATGGACCTAGACTCTCTGTCTGTCCACACTTTTATTCATAACAGAGCTTCTAAGTTAACACACTTGTGGATAATTAACTTAGTTAAGAGAATGGTTTTACAACTGATGGAAGCTTTTGGTTCTGGGGCCCAGAGTAAATGCAGTTAACAGGTAATCCCCTTTGATCCTTGGGAGAGACCACCCAGCACAAAATTAACATGAGTAAACGGAGTGGAGACAAATGAGTGTGGGGTAAGGCCTTTTGATCAGTCTCTAATTTCCTTCCTATGCTAATGTTAGTAAGTCTCTAATTTCCTTCCTGTGCTAACGTTAATCTGCCCCAGTAAAACCAATTGGCCTTCCAAAAGGTTTGAGATTACAAACTATGTCTTTCCTAACAGTTTATATATTTAATACCTTGCCAGCCACCCCGAGTGAATAGCAAGACTGTCTAAGATATTATCATATTTATTTGTATTTTGCTGCGTTCTTCTACTGGACATAAGACAGTAAAAATGTTATTTGGAAATCTATGAATCAATCACGCAATTTAGAGAGTTGTTAGAAAAACTAGGGTTCTAACTCTGAGTTAGAAAAATTAGATTGATTTCAGTCAGTGGCAAACACAGGAAAATGTATACTGAAACATATTTCTTTAAATATCAAAATTAGAAGATTGCGAAGTCGAATGAGGTCATCTCCTGAAGCTTCTGTAGTAGGAATGCTGATCCATGATGAAGGACAGGGTTGGATTTATTTTCTTTAGACGATCCACCATTGAACAGTAGAGACAGGGACCCTTATGGTCTATATCCAAACAGAGCCCAGATTTTTACAGACGGATCGAGGCACAATGCTCAGATCTACATCTCTTTAGAGGCTCACTTTGCAAGGAAAAAAAAAATCATTCTGCCCTTGAAGGTGGCTGCAGGAAGTATTCACAATGAGTCAATTAATATCCAGATCTCCTGTTCCAGGAGACTGTTAGTAAGTGTTACAAAGGAAATTTTATGTGCTCACGTAAGTTTAGAAAACACTGGCTAAAAACTAGAATAGAATTATTCTTTCCTAGAGAAACTTTCACAGCGTTCACTGTTGTAATATGAATTGTGATTCCTAGACGGAGGCATCTGATGTGAAATAAGTCTCCAACTTGTTTGACCACAGAACTTATTTTTAAAGTCCTCTGAAGGGACCAGTGTTTTGGAAAAGATTATAGGAGCTATGGGACTGGACCAAAGGCTAATGAAGATATTGTAAGGTGTATTGTCCTGGGGTGGACTAGCTGCACCACGATTTGAAGAGATCAATTTCTAGAATTCATCCCACATCTGCCAAATCAGTCATTTAAAGGTAGGGCAGGAAATAGCTCCATTTTAAATAAATGTCTCAGATAATTCTCATGTCCATTGAGAACACAGGTCCCATCAGTACAGAGTTGGGTTAGGAGCCTCTCAAAGATGTAACTTCCTAAGTAACTGTCAATCACAATGCCACACATAATCTTTTCATAAAGCTGTTTCTACTCCCAGCACTCTCTTCAAAGTATTCTTCACTTCTGAGTTCCTAAGACTATAGATAAGGGGATTGAGCATGGGATTAAAGAGGCTGTGAAACAGCAGGAGATATTTCTTCTGCTCCTTGAGGTTTCCATATCTGGGTCCAACATACATGATAATGGCTGTGCCATAAAAGAGTCCAACCACACAGAGGTGGGAGGAGCAGGTAGAGAAGGCTTTCCTCTGACCTTCCCCCGATTGGATCTGAAGGATGGCACAGAGGATGCACATATATGAAACTAAAATTGAGGACAAGGGTCCCACCAGCACAGAAATTGCTCCGACCAAGACCATGATCTCATTGATGTGGGTATCTGCACAGGCAACTTTGAGAACAGCCATGATTTCACAGAAAAAGTGATTAATTTTCTGGGGCCTACAGAAGGGTAAAGGTAGAAGTAACACTAGATGAATCAAGGATAGAAGGACTCCGATGGTCCAGGAAGTCACCGCTAGGGTGATGCAGACTCTCCAGGTCATGATGGCAGAATATCGGAGGGGGTGGCAGATGGCCATGTACCGATCACAGGACATCACCACCAGGAAGAGATATTCTGTATGTGCAAAACTCAAAAACAGAAACATCTGCGTCATGCAGCCAGCAAAGGAGATGGGCTTGGCTGGAAGCAGTAGGTTCACCAGCATCTGCGGCACCGTGTTGCAGGCGTAGGCGATGTCGACGAGGGCCAGGTGTGAGAGGAAGAAGTACATGGGGGTGTGCAGTCTGAAGTCCAGCCAGATGAGCCCCAGGATGGCCCCGTTCCCCAGCAGGGTGAAGATATAGAACAGGGAGAAGAGCCCAAAGAGGAGCATCTGAATCTGTGGGCTGAGGGGAAATCCCAGCAGGAGGAACTCTGTGACCATTGTCTGATTTTCCCCCATTTCCCTGTAGGAGGAACAAAGGAGCTCACCAAGTCTGCATATCTGAGGCAAATGTTTAAACATTCTGTAACTGTACATATTATTGTTTGTTTCCTAAAAAAACACCTTCAATGATATTTTGATCTTAGTTAGTAAGAGAAAAATTATGCATTTAAAAATGAAGCACAAGGAAATTTTGTCACCAATGATAAATTCAATGTTAGTATGATATTATAGTATTCATTACATCTTATTTTCAGATCTACTTTCATCACAGTTTAAAATATGTTGATACTTAAATTGCCTTCATAGCATGGACTCTGTCCTCAGTTTGTGATGACTGTATCAGATGCTTGCCCTCTGTACTCCTTCACTGCAGGGTATTTATATCCATACATGTGGAAGTGTGCTGGTGTCTATGTCTATATATAAGGTTAGAAAGAGGGATGAGGACCATGTTGATGATTCTGCTATTCTCACCAATTTGAACCTTCATTACATGAGTTATTTGTTAAACTTGTGATTTTTGCTGATTGTATAATCTTGATTTAAGTTGAGGGAATGGCAGTTTGCCCTAACTTTGGCTAGATTTAAACAGAGATCTTTGTGTTTTGACTTTTGTACCCATAGAGGGTCTACTCTGTTTGTGTTGTCTTATGATCAGAATGTAGTTGCCTGTCACCTTCTTATACTACAAATGTGTATTTATTTTATTTGTATATTTTTTCTATTTTTTGCAAATTTATTTTTAATATTTTTTTAGTTGATACATAATAGATGTACATAGTTTTGGGGGTACATGTGATAATTTAATATACTCATTTAATTTATAAAGATCAAATCTGTGTATTTGGGCTGTCACCTTAACTATTTGTCTTTTCTTTTTGTTAGAAACATTCAAATTATTCTCTTCTACCTATTTTGAAATATGCGGTAGATTACTGTAAACTATAGTCACTCTTCTAATCTATTGAACACTAGGTCTTATTTCTTCTATGAAACCATACGTTTGTAATCACCTTCTCTTTATGATCCTTTTTTTGCTACCCCTCCTGGCATCTGGTAACCACCAATCTACTCTCTGTCTTCATGAGATACACATTTTTACCTCCCACATGTAAGTGAAAACGTATAATATTTGTCATTCTGTGCTTAGCTTATTTAATTTAATGTAATGACCTCCAGTTCCGTCCATGTTGCTGCAAATGACAGGATTTTATTCTTTTACATGGCAGAATAATATTCTTTTGTGTGTGTGTGTGCGTGTGTGTATGTATATACATATACATATATATATATATATATATATATATATATCACATTTTCTTTATCCATTTATTCATTAATGAGCACTTAGGTTTATTGCATATTTTGGTTATTGTGAATAGTGCTGCAATAAACATGGCTGTGAAGATATCTTTTTGATATGTTCACTTCCTTTCTTTTGGATATATAACCAGTAGTGAAATTGTTATATATCATCTATTTATTTACATTTGGAAATTTCCAAAATTCTGCTATATTCCTATAGTAATAAATGTCTGCCCACTACATACATATGTGAGTATATATATAATTGAATCCTTACTCTGTGTAATGTACTTGTTTTCTATTTGATTCTAGTCTAATCTTTTCTGTTTCATTAGTAAAAATGCTGACTGATTTCATGATGGGTCATAGCCTGGGATTTAAAAAACACTGATCTCTATCCAAAACTAGAGCTAAAACTCTAACTGTACACTTGTGTTCATAGAACGTTTAACATATTTTATAGCTTCTTAACTATCATGTATAAATAAATAACTACCTACTATTTATGGTGATTTTTTTAGCTTTTAGTGGCCTATCAAATGTTTTAAAATTCTTCCAAAGCAAAGAGGGTATACTGAGGTTTGAATTATTGCAACTTCTAAATTATTGCTTCTGTTTTTTGCCTGACTCTATAGCCTTCTTCAGTCCATAATCCATCTGAATTTCACTAAAATAAAAAAGAAAAATTCATAATTGAGTTTCTATCAGTGAGTTCCCTATTCACATTTTCTGATAAGTTATTATTTGAAATATTTCATCAGCAAAAGTAAATAAGTTTTTGTCTTATTTCAAAGAAAGAATCATAATTCAAAGTAGAATTTATTGGAAGGTGATATTATCTTAGTCAAGAAATAGTTTGATAATTATTGAAATTGCCTTCTTGAAAATTAGTAATTTTATTAGGAATGAAGTTGATTTCAGTGAATGTTTTAATTCATAGATTAATTAATCATCCATTCAAGATGGGATTCCTTTGTCATGTGAGAAGTTGCACTAGAATAATGCCAAGGTCCCTTCCAGCCATAGAATTCAGTGGTCCCAAAGACATAGAAAAGTGTTAATCATTTTCGCTTCACCTTTCTTGCAATATTTGAGTCCAATGAAGATAACAATGCTATTTCTAAAATTTCATATGATAAAGGCACACAATAAAGTAGCAGGATGAATGGTGTCACCTCATCTTCCCCCATCTCCAAGTAGCTAAATCACAAAATAAAAATCCACAGGTCTTAACTGAACATACATTACATCCTGCTACATGTGTTGGCTGAGGGCATGTAAGACTGTACTTGTTTGCTGCCACATGTAACCTGGTTGGATTAATAAGACTGTTAAAAAGACTCACAAATATGCCAGTAAAAGAAAGGAAATCAGTGTATCAAAGAGATATCTGCACTCCTATGTTTGTTGCAGCACTGTTTACAATAGCTAATAACTGGAAACAACCTAAGTGTCAATCAACAGATGAATGGATAAAGAAAATGTGGTACCTATACACAATGGAGCACTCACTATTCATCCACAAAAAAGAATGAGATCTAGTCATTTGCAACAACAGGGATGGAAATGGAGATCATTATGTTAAATTAAATAAACCAGGCACAGAAAAACAAACATTGTATGTTCTCACTTATTTATGGAAATTAAAAATCAAAACAATTGAACTCATGGACACAGAGAGTAGAAGGATGGTTACCAGAGGCTGAAAAGGGTAGCAGGGGTATTGGGAAGAGGTGGGGATCATTAATGTGTACAAAAAAAATTAGAAAGAATGAATAAGACCTACTATTTGTTAGCAAAATAGGGTGACTACAGTCAATAATAACTCCATTGTACATTTTTAAATAACTTAAAGAGTATAATTGGATTGTTAGTAACTTAGAGAGTAAATGCTTGAGGGGCTGGCTACCTCATTCCCCACGATGTGCTTATTTTACATTGCATCCCTGTATCAAAACATCTCATATACCAGTAAGTATATACACCTACTATGTACCCACAAAAATTTAGGAAAACGGGACTCACAAATTTGATAATTCTCATGTTTAAATAGCTCAGAAAAAGGAATTTCACATTTGAAAATAAAGTCTTCAGGTTACTCTTCTAATTATGTAACATAAATTTAGTTTGCAGTCAATTGTTCTATAAAACCACTACTTAATTTCATGAGGCAATAGAAACTTTTACAAGCAACCCCCCACAAATAACTATTTTACCTTACAATTTAAACAAGAAATTCAATGCCAAATGTATCAAAATAAATTATCTACATTAGGTATATCTAAAAGAGAAAACTTTTAAATTTGTCTAGCAGCTAAGTCTATAAATTGCAGAAATTTGGCATTAATGGATAAGAATTACATTTTCCATTGTGGCTTTTTATTACAGTCCATCTGAAATTATATAATAAATAAAGATTGGATAATATAAAAACTTACATCAGGCTTAACAACTAAAAATGAGAAAACAAGCTGGATATGAGTTAGGTAAAGCTTCACAGATTAGTAGAAAGCATCTGAGCTAGTGTTGAAACTCTTTCATTCCAAGATTATTGCGGGGGGGAAAAGTGCCCCAATGGAGGTTGGATATCTCTCAGAGGAGATGACTGTATTCTCTGCTTAGATCAACCATGTCTCCCTCTGCTATGAAAGTGTGTTCCAGTGAAGGGATAAAGACCCATCATGCACACTGCCACCTGCTCCTGTCCAAGGGAAAGAGGCTCTCGCTGTACTTATCCCTCTAGTTTTCCCTGGAAGAATGTTCATGTCAAGATGTTGCTGCTGTTAATTTCTTCAGTCACTGTAGGGTTCATGATCAGAAATTTAAGAAGCAATACAATGACTTCCAGGACCTCTTCATATATTGCAGATTTCCCAAGCTTATTTTAGTTTTAGGAACTCCAAAATATCCCCACCTACTAACCTTCCAAATAGATTAACTTGTTTTGGGGGCAGGTGGAACCCATGTGGTAGTCTCATCCTCTTTAATGAGGGCTGAATTTTATCTTCTGTGTAACCTGAACATGTATTCTAAATTTTTTTTCCATCAAGTCTCCACCAGGAATACAATTCCCAAAGTAGGACCAGGTAGCAAGAACTATAGAAGCTGTGGGGAACATGTTAAGGCATCAGAAAGAAGAATAAGGCATCCCAATGGGATTTGTTAAACCCTATTTTGTAAGATTTAACTAGAGCACAAACAAGGAAGGACACTTCCTACCAAGAAGCAATCCCTGTTCTTCAATTTCTGATGATTTTGAACACACGGGAAGTGGGAGGTGGAGTGAGAAAGAGCATGGTCCCTGAGGTCTGTGATTATTACTATTTTCTCTGTCTTCTGAGAATGAAGAAATAAAAAAGAGCTGACCCTATTTTATAATTTCAGGGAATACAGCTGAGACAATTTGATGGTGTCTTTGTGCTTTAAATTTTTCTTTTAGTCTTTTACCTAAATCCATTCTTATACTTAAATATAAAGGAGGCAGGGTATAATATGCTAAATTAAAGTTATTTTAATGTTTATGACTGCCAACTAAGAAAGTAAAAAACTTACTATATTTACTTTGAGAGAGCTCACCTGCAGTAAGTCTTAATGGGCTTTTCCCCATCAGACCTGTTTAGTAAGAGGCTTGTTGGTGTCTGGTGTCCAGATTGTGTTCTCATATTCTGGAAGGATGCTGCTTCCTCATACTGATGCCCAACGGCATCTGATTCCTAGAGAGAAACAATCCCTGGTTACCCACATGTTGTTCATGGTCCAATTTATTAAATATATAAACTCATAAATTACATCTCCTCTTTTACTGTTTCTAATTTTATAAATATAAAAGACTTCTATATGTCTCATAATATTTTTTGCCATAAATTCTATTTTATCAGAAAAAGATATATTTTGTTTGATAATAGCAATGCTGAACTTGGTTTACTAATACTTAGGCCAATTTGCATTTATGTTCATTTTTGAGATTTGTTCAATAAATCACTTTTCTTCTACTGTACTTTTCCAGTTTTGTTATCATTGTTATACTAGCCCATAAAGCAAGCTAGGTTGCTGTCCTTCTTTTGTCTATTCTCAAGAAGTTTTACATAGTATGAAAATTAGCTTTTCCTTGAGGATCAGTAAAATTTGCCAGTAAAATTATATGGCATGGTGTTCTTTGATTAGAAGAAAATTCTGGTAACCAATTCAATTTTTTTTAACATAAAGTTTTTGGATTTTCTACTTCTATGTAAGGGATTTTAAGTAATATTTTCCAAATATTTTTTATTTTTCCATAAGTTATTGGGGTACAGGTGGTATTTGGTTATATGAGTAAGTTCTTTAGTGGTGATTTGTGAGATTTTGGTGCAACCATCACCTGAGCAGTATACACTGCACCCTATTTGTAGCCTTTTATCCCTCACCCCCTTTTCTCCCTTCCCCCTAAGTTCCCAAAGTTTATTGTATCATTCTATGCCTTTTAATCCTCATCGCTTAGCTCCCATATATCAGTGAGGTCTGGTTTTCCATTCCTGAGTTACTTCACTTAGAATAATAGTCTCCAGTTTCATCCAAATTGCTGCAAATGACGTTAACACACGCATACACATATATATATATACACACACACACACCACACCCAACTGTGTTATGTGTATATATATGTGTGTTTGGTATGGTATATGTATACATACACACACACAGACACACACACACACACACACACACACACACACACAGACATGTATATACACATACCCATAGTTGGGTATGGTGTGTGTATATATATACCAATACACACACACACATATATATATACACACCATATATATACCTATATATAAACATAGTTTCAGGAACTCCGAAATATCCCCACCTACTAACCTTCCAAATAGATTAACTTGTTTTGGCAGCAGGTGGAACCCATATAGTATTCTCACAAATATACATATACATACCACAGT